GTTTAGGTTTAATTTTTTGATTCATTCGAGTCTTCATGTTGAGTGATTGTTGGAAGATGAGAAGGCCTGAAGTATAGAGAAGCAGATGGTTATCGACCGCTACGTGAGCAAAGAGGAGTTGGCACAGCCTGCATCATAGTGTGGCCTCAGGGTTGCCCACCGGAGGTGACTGCAGGGACACCGATCCATGCGCGTCATGGCACTACAAACACCCCGGTATTATACAACTGTTGATCAGAGCGGCCGCTCAAGACGCTACGCGAGAGTTAGGGCTCCTAACTACCAGTCGGAAACAGCAACCAGTGAACTGTCAACCGTGTACCCTCAAAATGAAGAGGCAATGCCACAGACTGCGCACATCACGGGAGAAACACATCAGTACTAGTACATAGGCCAGAGAGAGAGAGAAAGTGCCGGGAACCCCTTCTTAGACAGGAAACAAGGTGTGAGCCTTTGCGCTTGTCCAGGGGAATGGGGAGGAGTGTTGACCGGGCGGTAGGAGGGTCTACCTACTCCTATTACATATAACACATAACAGTGACAATAGACAAACAGATAAGGGCCGGGAAGTAGTTGGCAGTGCCCATTCTGGCACTATACGCGCGTTAAGGGGGATAGGATGGAATATTTTTAGTATTTTATACTTATACAACACTAAGTTTTAACTTAGTATAAGTCCCAATGTTCTATTCTAAGGATAGGGACTTCTGAAGACATGTTAACGCATGGTAAAGGGACATTTTTTCCCTTTTTTCCAGAGGTAGGGGGGACGATTTCTAACTACACAAACAAGTTATCAGTTAGGTTAGAACAAGTATTAATGTTAAATTAGTCGGAGTGATCAAGCAACAATAGCTGAATAAAATAAATACGTAAAACGAATATGTAAATTATATATATACGTATAATTATATGTATATATATATATTTATATATGTAAGTATATATGCATGTATATATATATGTATATGAATGTATCTATATATGAATTTATATATATATATATATATATATATATATATATATATATATATATATATATATATTTAGTTTATGCAAAACTAGGTAATCCGTATAGGAGGATGATATCCAAAGAGCTCAATGTAAATTTAGAGCAAATAAATTTGAATAAAAATTTGAATACAACCTTAAAGTGGTCTGTTTTTATACAAATATATATATATATATATTTAATTAAGTTACGAAGAACTTGGTAAACCGAATGGGTAATTCTAAGGAGGATGAAATCCTGAGAGCTCAATGTGAATACAGAGCTAATATTTAATGAAAAAACAGACCACTTTAAGGTACCATTACAATAATTTATTCACGAAAATCCTTTTTAAAGGACTCCGGATCATCAGGTAACAATTCCAACAACGAAATGAATTGTTGGAATTGTTACCTGATGATCCGGAGTCGTTTAAAAAGGATTTTTGTGAAATAAATTATTGTAATGGTACCTTAAAGTGGTCTGTTTTTCATTATATATATATATATATATATGCACAGCCATGTATATATATACATGTGTATCTTTAATTATGTATAGACATATACCTATGTATGTATATATATGTTGTAACCTAGAAAAGGTTACTGAACGAGAAATAACCAAAACGGGGTTTGGAAATGAAAATGGTAATCTGTATAACATGAGCAAAATAAAATACTCACCAGCTGCATGAAGTAGGTAAACCACTGCAAGTGGTGGACTACTGAGACACCATATTACGATATTTACCGTGAGCTCGGACAAAAATTGCCCGTAGACCCAGTATATGCGGGATCTGGTATCTGTCTATCTCCCCGGACGAGACTTCGGCATAGCCTCGTCCGGGTTCCTTTCTGGTCGAAGGCAGAGTGTTCGACACGGCAAGAGCTTCCCACGCTTAGGCAGCATATTACCCCCAATTACAATAGTGTCTAATGTATCGATGAGGATTGTGACATAACCATTAGTATTCATAGGTACGTTATATAGCAATATTTATATGTGCCAATTGAGAAAATTGTATGACAAAGTGGAAAAACCTTACTTGTGACGCGTTTCATCCTTCAAAATGAAACGAAACGCATCATGCAATTTCCCCAACACTGTTCTTTATACATAAAATATATATCGTGACCTCATAGGTATCTATGTATATCTTTAAACATGTATGTACATATATACATATACATATATATTTAAACATATGCATGCATATATATATATATATATATATATATATATATATACATTTATACATATATATATATTAATGCATGTTTCATTAAATAATATAGACAAGTTTGTCTATTTTAAGTAAATTCCTTTCATATTGTCTGATAAGCTTAATCACATTATCGTTGAAAGACGAAAGGAAATCACCATATTGATACATGTTTAAATCCAATCTAAGCTATCGGCTCACACAAGCCATTATCAATGATGACAATTTCAATGAATCAAACAACAACGGACGAAACAAGAATGATAGTCCGCCCTTGCTGCATGAAAATTCCAAGTAACGACAAAATCGTATATCCGGGACGCGTAAGCGAAATTCGCGTCGCAGCTCGTGACGTCACACATGACCGCGCGAGAGTATTATGCTTAGGAAGCCGTTGGTATAAAACAATGGCTTCTGTTATAAATTATAGGCATTTAATGATATTTCATAATTTATTTTGTTCAGGTTTGGTTCCAGCTGTTTTATATATAAAGCTTCAAGAATTTAATGAAACATGCATTATTGAAAAATTGCTGCATAAATATACACAATTTAAATATACATACATATATATATATGTATTCGTATTTAAAGATATACCTACACACACACACACACACACATATATATATATATATATATATATATATATATAAGGATACATACTTTAGTTTACGTTTCCCTCAAGGAGACCAGTTCTTAAAATCTTTTGCTTTGCATTTCGTTTTCAATTTTTTCAATAGCCCTCCTTATCGTTTGATGTTTTCTGCGAAGTCCCTTTCATGTCTGCCACGTAGCCATTCCCTCACTCAAAAAATGTGTATTTTCCGTTTTTCAGCATTTGTTAGCTCTTTTCCATTATCCATGTTTCAACATATATTATGGAAAAAAGAAAGAAAAATAGCTTTTATTAGATTTCAGAGGCCTTAAATATATTTTTTAATCTGCATAATAACTTCAGAATTCAATTTTTATAATAAATCCAATAACCTTAGTAAACACGTAGAAACTTGCCGAAAACTGAACTTTATTTTGACGTCTAAATAAATCGTTTAGAATTTGAAAAAAAATGTCCAAAGCAAATTCGAGTTATTGAAGTTTATGCGATTTGCATAATAATTCAAAACGGACTTATATATATATATATATATATATATATATATATATATATATATATATATATATACATGTCATTAACATATGAATTCATAAATATTATTACAGGGAACCAATATTATTTATGAATTCACATTTCCCTTAAGGACTTGCGTTCCTGATCAAACCAGATTCTTGAATCATGATACTGGACACACAATTACATGCCTATCAAGAAGGTTCACATTACCCTCTGACCATAGATCGATCAGGAATTATTTAAATATAAACGGAATCCTACCAAATAATATCCACCACATATGTGTAGAAAATACATGTATAATAGCCACGTTCACACGTAAAAAAGGCGAAAAATAATGGAGACACTAATAATAAAAAGGAAAACGCCAAGCCAGCACTCAGTAACATCAACTATGAACACGGCCATACTGGGCTGATCGTATTTGGAAAATACACACACACACACACACACACACACACATATATATATATATATAGACAGATATTTGCAAATTGAAACAGATATAAAAATGAGATAGATAAATAGATAGATATCAGCAAATCTGGATAGACAGAGGAAATTATAGATAGATAGATAGATAGATAGAAAATTATATATGAGTAAGTTGAAATAGGCAGCCGGATAGCTGTTCGGTAGTATGCAAGTAGATTGATAGGCATAACTTTATATATATATATATATATATATATATATATATATATATATATATATATATATATATATATATATATTCAGTTGTATGGATATGAGTTTGTAACCATGGGTTTCACGCTTTAACTCTCATCAGACAAAGTCATAAAGCTACAACTGATTATGTTAGCTCTGTCATAGATATTGAGCACTTTTCATTAAATACCGCATATTTATATATATATATATATATATATATATATATATATAGATAGATAGATAGATGTAACCAAAATTATAACGATAGATATGGGCTAAATGAGATAGAAAACCGAAAATACAGACAGGTATCTAGCTAGATAGCAAGATATATATATATATATATATATATATATATATATATATATATGATATATATATATAGATAGATAGATAGATAGATAGATAGATAGATAGATAGATAGATAGATAGGAAGGAGTAACTTTAAATAGATAGATAATGTTCATTGCTATGCCAGGAAAACAATTATAAAGCCAAATTAATCATTTTTTAAAATGATTTTTATCATTTTGAAACTCCACTCTACCCCCACAGGAAATATTTAACGTTTCCCCTTTCTTTTCTGTATTTCTTGTTCATAACCTCTCAAGCTTGATTACGCTTACAGAATCACAATTGTACATCCATACGTAGACAATACGAAAATATACACATCTTTCGTTGTTGTGTGGATATCTATAAGTGATGTACTAATTATTTTTAAGGGACAGAGTTGAGCCATCTTTACACGAATCTTCCTATTAATTATCTTGTTCAAAACAAAGCAGTTTTTGTTTCAGTTGTTCTATTCTTTATTTCTCTTGTTTCGTTTCTGTTTTTCTTTGTTTCACTTCTTTTTTCTGATTTTCACTTTTTTTTTTTAAAGAGACAAAACAGGGCAACGAGACAAGATAACGTAAAAGCGGCGCCTTTTCAAAGCTAACAATGCTTCGTCTTTGTTTATACGATATCGGAGTTAATTGAATTGAGCGGTGTGCGAAGTGGTGATTCTGAAACGAAATGTTTCCAAGGTAAATAAGAACAAAACAAACGAACCATAGAAAAGAGAGAGAGAGAAAGAGAGAGAGAGAGAGAGAAGAAAAGAAGGAAGGAGAGTAAGCAAGAGATAGAGAGAGAGAAAAGGGAGAGATATATAGAGAGAAAGAGTGAGAGTGAGGAAGAGAGAAAAAGAGAGCAAGAGAAAGAGAAATAGAGATAGATATATAGATAGATAGGTAGGTAGAGAGAGAGAGAGAGAGAGAAAGAGTGAGAGGGAGAGAGAAAAAGAGAGCAAGAGAAAGATAGAGAAATAGAGAGAGGGAGATAAATAGATAGATAGATAAAGAGTGAGAGAGGGAAAGAGAAAAAAGAGAGCAAGAGAAATATAGATAGATAGATAGATAGGGAGTGAGAGTGAGAGAGGAAGAGAGAAAAGAGAGTTAGAGAAAGATAGAGAAATAGAGATAGATAGATAGATAGATAGATAGATAAAGAGTGAGAGTGAGAGAGAGAAAGAGAAAAGAGAGCAAGAGAAAGATAGAGAAATAGAGAGAGGGAGATAGATAGATAGATAGATAGATGAGAGAGAGAGAGAGAGAGATAGATAGATAGAGAGGGGAAGAGAAATAATCAAGGAACCGGCGTAGGCAATTGACTCTTCACTCGAGCAAATCTCTTTAAGACGAAACGTTTTCAGTTCGATCTCACTTTTGTCTGTTGATCAATCTTGCTGTCTATCTTTAATGTTATCAGCCGATGACACAGTTTCGTGGCTTTAGACATGTTTCTTTGATCGCATCTAGACAATTTAATCTGTCATTTTACCCGCTTTTCTTACTGATTAAAATGGGAAATACAGGGTTCGATGGGTAAATTGTCGTAATTATATATTTTTAATTTTGCGCATGCGTGTTGTCTCTTTTTGATTTGGCCGACTGCACAGTATAGTAGGGTCAGTTGGGCACCGTCCATGAGAAAAAGCGCACCATGACGTAATTCACTCCGCTAGAAATTTGGAAACGGCATGTTGTACTGTTTTGGCATTCGCACCGGAAGCTCCAATACGAAAATTTCAGAGTGTTTGCCTGTTAATCTGTGGACAGTGCAGAGGATTCGGAAAGAGTTGAATGAGTCTAATGGTGATTACGATGGTACGTGAGCTCGGAAAATTCACTTTGATCGTTCTGATGATAAAAGAACTCATGAATTGGTTCTGAGGGCCTCAGACTCAACATGGATACCTACATCAAGTGCTTTGAGGAGGTAGTGCTGTCCTGGGTCAAGAGGGTGGCTGCTGGAAGATCTTATGTCGGGCAACAGGACTCTGCACCATGCCACACAAGCGGGAGAATCAAGTCATGACTGTCAGACAATTTCTACGATCACATCAATCCTTACATCTGGTTACCTAACTCCCCAGACTGAAACACCCCTTGATTATTGGGTGTGGGGCGAATTTGAGCGAGAGGCCAAAAAAAAACTCTTTGTCGCATAAAAGATAAATTGAAAGCAAGGATTTTGCCAACATTCACCAACTTAAACAAGGAGACCGTCCAGAAGAGATGCAGGTCATTCCGAAGTCGTCTGGAGTCTTTTTTGCTGAAGCCAATGGTAATTTTATTAAATAAATTTATTCCTTTAATATTTCAAGATATTTTTGTGCGATTTTGGTGAATATATTTGTTAAAATGAGATGCCAGTGTTATTTTCATTTTGGAGTAATTTAGACGACAATTTATCCATCTTACACTGTATATTAGAAGAATGTTTCTCAAACTTATTCTGGCCGTGGCTCCCTTCAATCCAGTGCGAGTTCTTTATGGCCCCTCATGCCAACTTCGTTTTTTATCATGTCCCTCAACTTAATACATACATGTAAGTAGGAATATTAAAGGTTGTAACTTGGATAAGAGTTTGGCTTCAAAACACTAACTCCGGTTGTAAATTAAAGAATTATATTATTTGGATAAATGTTTTATTTGAATAACCTGTATTTACAAAACCACAAAAACATGTACCATCAGTTCTATCTTGTATCGTTTCAATGGGATCCCTTTGACTGGTGCAAGACTGCCAAATTGTCAATGTTTGGCTTGAAAGCCATCAGAGAGAGACGTAAATCGCATCTTTTTTTTTACGTCAAGGCGATTTCGAGTCTTTGACAGCAGAAGCATCAACTAACCAGACTCAACCAAGTAAGATGTGGGAAAAGCGAGTGAGAGCAACTTCACATTTTCAAGAGTAGTGAGTAATTCTTATGCATGTCTTTATTCATCCACAACTTTTGGTAGGCTCCACGCTTGAATCTCGCTTGAGCAGCTGTGTTATTTTGAAGTTCAATGAAACTTTCTTGTAGGGTGATATCAACTTCAGATGCATCAGCAGTGTAGAAATCCACAAACCAGAGCGGCACTGTCATTTCAAGTAGATAAGAGAAGCGGGTTTTTATATCATTCTGCAACTGCTTCAAATGATCAACATACACTGCTAGGTCACCATCAAGCAGCGCGGTGGATATATTTGTGAAGGAAGGAAACAGGGCAAACTCCCGTCAAATAAGGTTAAACCGGAACAGCTTAAATTTCCCGGTAAATGCGTTAATTGCCTCCCCGCAGAAAGAAAACGAAACACCCCCCCCCAAAAAAAAAACAAAAAAAAAAAAACAAAAAAAACAGGGTGGAGTTATTTCCTTGAAACTCTTTGTTGAAGACATTTAGCTTTTCAAAATTGAAAGAAAAGTTAGTGAAACCATACCTTAATGTAAACTTTAAATTATGAGTTTTAAATTTAAAGAAATTGAAACCTAAAATCGGCCATTTTGCATAGATCAGATGAAAAATTACAATAAATAAATATTTATGTTAACGAAATGGCTTAGGTAAATTTAATATTTTATTTCAAATAATAATTATTACTTACAAAATGCCCCATATATATATATATATATATATATATATATATATGGGGTATATATATATATTTTATTGGGTCCTAAATTTTTTGTGCCCTCTCGTGGTTCCCCATTTGTCAACCTTTTTTGTGGCCCTTGACAATCTCTCATGGTCCCCAAGAGGGCTATATGGCCCACGTTGAGAAACTTTGTATTAAATTTATCCCAAATTTATACCGGGAACAAACCGCCTGCATACGGATAGAAAAGGAATTCAACAAATACACAAAAATATAAAACGTCGTACGACAAAGTTACATCTTCTCACAGGACTTATTCAACCTTTACGATGGGGCAATAATTACAGAATGAGAAGTTCTACCAGGATTCATTATTGGCGGCTACAATCTTAACAGTATAAGATAATATCAATGTTGATAGCAGACACGGAAATGAAACAATCGGAATTTCTTACAGAAGGTAGTAAGAAGAAAGGTAGAAAAAAGGACTAATTATCAAATGCAAGAAGGCAGAAGGCATGGTTGTTAGTAAAAGGGACATCCAGTATACGAAATACGAATTGGAGGCAACAGAATGAAGCAGGTACAAAAAATTTAAATATCTAGGACACCATGATACAAAGACGCATTTGGAATACAGAAAGATGCCTTCCACAAGCTAAGCAAACTATTAGGAAACACGAAAATTTCATTAGAAACAATGAAAAGAATACTGAATTATTATGTAATATCGGTCCTTCTATATGACAATGAATGCTGGACAATCTCATTACAGATAAGAAAGAGACTTGATGCAACAGAAATGTGGTTCTACAGAAGGATGCTGAGAATACCATGAACTGAACATGTGGACAACGGTGAAGTTTTAGGGAAAATGCAAATACAAAGGTTACTTATACTTCGAATCAATATTGAAATTATAGGGTATATAATAAGGAAAGAGGGCTTAGAAAAGTTAACACTCACGGGAACTGTTAAAGTTCCGTGTCCACGATGTGGGCGATCATGGCTCTTCTTGGTAAACATTCCAAGCCATTTTTACTTATTAATACTATCATGTTTTCAAAATGAATAATAGAAATCGCATGTTGCAGACGGAGGATTATAACAGATTAATTACCTTGTCTCTCAGGCGTTGTATAAAGTTGTAAAAGTGATAAATTATTGCTCTCTCACCCACAGAATGCAGTTATCACCCGTCCGTGGTGATCTTTTCTGGAAGAACCGACTTCTTAATTGCAACCAAACCACGTGGCGCATTACTAAAATACAAGAAAACTCATCCACAGGCACACACACATAATAATATATCTTCTTTTCTGAACTATGTTCTTCAATGTATATATATATATATATATATATATATATACGAATCAGCGTGGTTGATTTTCAGGAAGGAGACTTCTTGATATCAGAATGGATTAAGGTCGATCCCAGCGCATGGCACCTTTGGAAAGTGCCTGAAAACCATACCACGGGTTGACCCAAGCCTTGTAAGTGAAATTGGGTAGACAGAACTCTTGAGGGCCGTCGACAGCTGTGCTAACACAAAAGTACAAGACATCGTGGCCGATGGTTGGAGCGTGCTGGCCTAGCTGAAATTGTTGATCCCGCTAGATAACACGCTCTCTCCCAGAAACTGTAACTAAGGTCTACTCAGCATAGTTGCAGTATAAACCACAGGTGGGCTCTGTGGGTGTTCAATAAACATAAATGCACCTGAGCAAGCATCTGCAATAGGGCTGGGCTAACCGTCCTAGTATACGGGTATCCTCGAATACGAGTGGCCAGCTATTATATATATATATATATAGATAGATAGATAGATAGAGAGAGAGAGAGAGAGAGAGAGAGAGAGAGAGAGAGAAACAGAGAGAGGGGGGGAGAGAGAGAGAGAGGGAGAGAGAGGGAGAGAGAGAGCGCGAGAGACACACATTTCCTCATTATGTAGGTTATGAGTTGTTTTCCTCTGTCCCTATCGTCTTCAATCTGTCCTGTGGGTATTAGATCTTCTAAGCCCTCTTTCCTCATTATGTAGGTTATGAGTTGTTTTCCTCTATCCCTCTCGTCTTCAATCTGTCCTGTGTGTATCAGCTTTTCTAAGCCCTCTTTCCTCATTATGTGCCCTTTCTGATTGTAATTATAATTTTTGTTTCCACTTTTTCTAAAACTTTGTCGTTGCTCATATGTATAGTCCAGGGTATCTTCAGCATCTTTCTGTAGAACCGCATTTCTCTTGCTTCAAGTTTCTTTTTCATCTTTGATTTTTTCTGTGATGTTTTGTTTAGCATTTGTAAGGTATCCTTCCATGCGCACTGAGTGCTTCCTTCCTGTAGCCTTGAGGGTACCTAGGTTGAGCTTGGTAAGAATCGATGAAGTAATTCAGTTTTGTGTGTTACATATGTTCAAACTTATCGACCAGTTGATTGACCACAGTTTCATTTCCAATCTATCACGTCTTTAGCAGAGTTTTCTTTCTTTCTTCATGTTTTGCAGTCCCTGCTTTACTTTATCTATAAACCTGGCTTAGTGGTAAATAACTTGTCAGCATGTCTTTAATATTTCATTGAGTTCAATGTTCCAGACACATGTCCTTGTGTTAAACCAAACTAGGGGAGGTGCTGAGTAGCTTTAAGTCTCTTGGTCCAGAAAATGGAATCGGCAAAGTGAGTTTGGGTTTGGGCCGAGGTGATCTCGTATTATTACTCTTGAGAATGGTCAGAATCAAATTTTCCTTTCAGCTGTGGTTAAATATCTGGGCGGACGGAACTCTCTAGCTTTGGCTGTCGACCAGTTTAGGAGAAAGATAGCTTTGATTCGAAACCGAGAGAGGTATCCATAAGACATAACGGAAATAAATTCTATCAATTTCTGGTAATATTTTTCAGCCTAACAGACTGTCGTTTGTGACGCCCAATTCTACGATTGGATACCGAAACAAAAATGATTGTATATGTGCGGCAAACTTAGAATGATAGTTAATCAAAATTACTGCCAAATTATATATATATATATATATATATATATTCTTTGTTTTTAACGTGATCTGATATAATAATTTAAGTTAATACAGCGTTGTAAAAAGAAATCGCAAGAGACTGGCACGTACACAAAAAGCAATACTCTGTCCGGTGGCAAAAAAGCTGCTGCTAGCGCCAGGGGTGGTAGTACTGCCTTACCTACCGAAACGGTGTTACCTCTCCTGGTTGGCGGTTAACGTGGGTAGGGTATCAACTGTGCTTTTACACGTTGTATGTAGACAATTATATATATATATATATATATATATATATATATATATATATATATATATATATATGTGTGTGTGTGTGTGTGTGTTTTTTAAGATATAGTTTTCAGGTTTGCTATATTATTGGTCAAAGTGGTCAATATCAAGGATAGAGCATATGTAAATATAGAAGTAGACACTGAAGCCAACACCTAGTGCCGATAATCTAATTCATGCTTAAACACAATCTTCATGCCATGTCTGGTTCATGGCCTGAGGATTACGTTTAAGCACGAAACAGTTCGCTGGGTGGTGACTTCAGTGTCCATGTATATATATACTGGACTTTATCTCGTCGTATGAGGCTCAAGCAGCTCAATTCTTAGAACCAACAGCCAGACACCCCGCACATATCATTTGATTATAGTGATGAAGGCTTGTGTAGAATCAGCCACACTTTTTGGAAGAGCCGAATACAGAGAACTGGTGCACAGTATGCCACAAGGTCCCAAAGCAACCCGCTGCAGCCTTTGATTTTAGAGTTGTTCTTCTCCTGGACCGTTCGTCACATAAGGCTATTTTTATCTTTACTCATATATATATATATATATATATATATATATATATATATATATATAGCGTATCGCAATTATAAAGATTTCTCGATTGCGCACGTGGATAGACATATTACACACTGTTCAATAAATAAAAATTGGGCGTCTATTTCAAATACGAAGTATCCACTAAAATAATGTTTGATGTTTCAAAAATTAGCGATGATCATCTGCTGAATATAAACCTATGATTGGGTACCAAAATTTGGATCAGATAAGTTTGTTTTAAATCGACCAACAAGGTTTTTTTTATTTATTTATTACACCAATAACAAAAAAATAAATAAACGAAACAAAACAAAACCTACAATTTTACCCGAGATGAGTCGATAATGCCACTAAGTCGTTAGGGGTTATTATAGCCAATGAGAAATGAAAAGACATTAGTGAAGAGAAAGGAAAATAAAAGAACACGATTCTGGAAGAAAGAAGATGGCGATTGACGTCGCATTTAAATTTTTGGAGATTGTAGATATCAGGGAAGCGAGAAATCGAAAGGGAAATCCACAGGCGAGAAGTACGAGAGAAAAACAAAAAACAAAAAAAACAAAAAAACGACGGTTGCATCTAGATAGTTCAAGAGTTAAACCTATTTGCCAAACTAGTAATATGCTTAAATTCCCGACGTCAAAACCCTAAGGAGAAAAGCTCTTTAGAACAATTTTGAGGGTAGTGTTAAAGAATTTTATGAAACTGTCTGCCAAGTAAACCGAACTACATGACTAGATTTTATAAATAAACAAAACAAAATCGAATGTAGAATTTCACCCGAAACGAAGCGATAGTGCTACTAAATCGCAAGGTGTTATTGACAGCGTAAGAATGAGAACACGTAAGAAATGGGAAAGAGAAAAAAAATAAACGAACAAGATTCAGAAAGACACAAGATGGAGATTAACGTTCCATTTAAACAGTTGAAGACTCTAGCTGATAGAAAAGCAAGAAACCGGAAGTGGATTCCACAGGCGAGAAGTGCGAGAGAAGAAACTATTAGAATAGAAGTTAGCTAGTTGCCAATCGAGTAGGATACTTAAATTCATGCAGTCGAAGCTTCAATTAAGAAAGCAAAACAAAACCTACAATTTCACCCGAGGCGAGCCGATAATGCCACTAAGTCGCGAGGGCTTATAGAGATTATAGCATTGAAAAGACGTTAGGGAGGAGAAAGGAAAATAAAAGCACGCGATTCAGGAAGAAAGAAGATGGCGATTGACGTTGCATTTAAATTTTTGGAGATTGTAGTTATCAGGAAAACAAGAAGCCGGAAGTGGATTCCACAGGCGAGAAGTGCGAGAGAAGAAACTATTAGAATAGAACTTAATTAGTTGCCAATCGAGTAGGACGCTTTAATTTATGTAGTCGAAGCTTCAAGGAAGAAAACTTGACATGAAAATCCTCATAGAAAAGACAGAAGGTGTGAGATAATGACTGACTTCTAGATGACAGTTAACATTACAGAGCCTTCTTTGAATTTTGTCAAGAATCTTGAGCTATATAGCAGGATAACCAAGCTAATTATGGTAGTGTTATTAAATGCAGGAACGAACCATCAGTTCTATTCTAACAGTTTTTTTATCGCACTTCTTACCGGTGGAACTCTCTTCTGATTTTTCTTCTCCGCCATCTATAATCTTCAAAAATTTAAATACAATGTCTATCACTACTAAATGCTGGTCTTTTATTGTCCTTTCTACTCATGAAAGTCTTCTCATTCTCTTCCACTCCCTTGCGTCTTAGTGACATTATCGCCTTTCCTGGGGTGAACTAATTAAAAAAAAAATGACAGTATATTTTCTTATACTCCCAGTAATATTAGTTTTTTTAATAATGGCCTTCAAATATTTTCCACTTATTACGCACTAATCTTTCTCGATGTCAACGTTTTCAACACTTGACTTCGGAAAATTTTGAAATAGGCTGCTATGTTCGTAACAAATACACTCCCAACTAGCGTCGTTAGTTAAGGAAATATATTTATATTCAGTAATAATTAACAGGAAATATAAACTGATTTACTAGGTGTAGCCTAGATTTAGCATAAGGCCATAAGTATGGAGCATCCGGTAAGGATCGAACTCACTATTCAATTGTATGTATTGAAGGGAAATGAAACAGCAAGTGACCTAATAATGAAATTGTACAAATGAATGGCAGAACAAAAACAAAGAATGGAGTCAAGTGTCAAACGTTACTTAGTGCATAAAAAACAGGAAGTTGTGGAGAGCTATGATCAACCACATTCTGATAGTATTTGTCATATAAATGAAAGTTTTATGAAATCATCGTGCCACAAATTCATCAATAATTTTCAAAACAATTTGGTGCCGAAATTGGGCAAGTACAACAGTGCTAATATCTCCAACTTGGATGTTTCTGCTAGATTTGTTTCCATCAGTAAGTGACCTCATGGCGAACACAACGTCATCATCAGTGTGAAAGCCGAAAGCTATCAGCATTGAAACCTTCCGAAAAAAAAATTTTTCTGAGCTGCCGAGGCTATAAAACAAGCAATTTTCACAAGAAAAAAAACAAAACAAAACAAAACAAACTGTTATTCAGTTCACTGAGCGGGACATTGATCACTGAATAGAGGATTAGAACGAAAAAAATACAAGGAATAGTTAAAATGACCCTCGTTTCCTGCGGTATCAAATACCTTGTATGGTAATAGAAGCGACTGATAGTTCTTTTATTACCACGTTTTTTTCTCTCCAGTAAATCACACTTTATCAATTTGTAAATGGAGGACGGTGGGAAGTAGGTAGTGACCTAAGCTTCCATTGATTCTCGCTTCATACACCAATTCTGATCCGTTTAATCACCGTGGAAAACTAGAATCGCGCGTATTTTTGCAAATCACAAGCGAGCCTGCAGAGAAAATTGAACCTCCTCCTGAATCTTCCTTCGTGAGGTACTATATATATATATATATATATATATATATATATGTATGTATATATATATATATATATATTATCTCCGAGTCGTGCTCATTAACTTGTGTTCAGAAACGAAGAATGCACACCCGTGAATCAGACGGCATTGATTTCGGAAGCGTTGTCAGACATCCGGTCTCTGGTAAGTCAAGATAGG